CCTACCGTACCCACAGAATACCGCTTTGAATCGTACTGTGTAATGTAGCACAATATCACCGCTTCGAGAAAACCGGTGTCTAGTGCGGGGTCAGGGGAAGGGGCGGAAACATCGAGTGAAGGGGTGGGGCAAGGGCAGGGAAATATGATGGAGTACCTTAAAGTTTGATACAAAAACGCATGATCGCACCGGCTCGCCTGGTGCGTTCCAGCCTGGGTTTAGACTGTTTAGATGTGCTGAGGCAAATACACTGAATCTTGTTTTAAAGAGCTTTTTGCCTGTTCAAGTACTGGAATAAATGTGTTTGTAGATGCGCTGTTGGGCAGGCGGTCCGACAGGCCGTGAGGCTGTGAACCGACTTTTTCCACAGCTTCGAGAACTGATCTCTCCAGGTGGATGCGTCTATATTGTGGCACTTCATTCAAACGATATTTCCAGCATGCTTGCTTGCAGCAGCTCGGAATTTTCATCCTCGATTTTATTGGAAAGGCGATGTGGCATTGAACATCTTTATGTCCTCAAATACACCAAAAGATTCAAGTGATACGCGAATGAAGCATTTCCTAGACTGCGCTTTTAGCGTTTTATCCGTCACGATTCTACCAGCACATACCACTGTTACAGCACAGAGCGGATCATCAAACCCTTCGGTTGCATCACCCGAAAATGCTCATGTTCACATGCTTCCTGATATTACTGCCATTTGCTGAGCAGCAGTATTCATTATATGCATCATTTCCTAGTTGCTTGAATCCTACGCGCAAAGAGAAAATTGCATTTGAAGACATCTGGCTGCCTTATCTGAGATGTCGATTGGTATTTGGCCGGACAACACATTACTACTTACTGTGATCTGCTTATGGAAACAGTCATTCGTGTATGCGAAATTCATTCGTAGCTTTTTCACGTACAAAAAAGATGAATTGTTTCGCGTTTTGTTTGATCAGGTTCAAACGCAGTAATTCAGCAATTATTTGACCAGTAACTAATAAGTGACCAGCGTCTAATAAGTGACTAGTGGTTGATTCTCATGAATTCAACTGCAAAAGCTGCTTCGAAAGAATGACAACGGAACGATGTCAAAGACAATATATGGTTAATAATTTGCGCTTTTTGGGCTTATATCCAATAGCGCACTGTCGCTTGCTGAGCGAAAAGCTGCTAACAGTCCGACGTGACAGGGCGACACGGATCGGAATCGACCCGTCGAGTATTCGTTGATGATTACCATTCATTGGTATTCTGCTTTGGTTAGCAAACAGTTGTTCAGTGTGTGTCTTTCTCAGCATGTACAAAACTTGTTCAAGAAGGGCAGAAATACAACAGACCTGCGCACTATATGCTGTAATCAGCAACTGGAGATTGCACGTTGAGGGTCGTCAGCGATGCATACACCATAGCATCGCCGATATTGTCGGGCTGCTTGAAGTGTTTTCCCATTATGATACCGAAAGTAAATGAGCTGAATGCTTTGCATATTTTTATGACCGCGAGTTTGTCGTAGCGCAGCGATTACTTGATTGATGACCTCTCTCCCATGCTATTTTGGTTCAGATTACTCGTGCATTTAGCTATTTTCGCTTGCAAAAAATGTGAAGTTTTTTTTTTTTTGAAGGATTTGGAAGGTTAAAAATTTTATTTCTGTCAAGCTGGACAGTGTCCACTGGTTGTAGTTATTCAGTTTTGATCACAAGTAAAGTTGCTTAGCGGTTTGATGGAGCCACGACGACACCAGTAGCATTTGAAATACTGAAGTCGTTCCCGTATTACAGTGCTGAATAGTGGTAGTAATATGGAATTGCTGGTTCGATTGATAATGCCAATTACTGTGAATAATAAATAATCGAATTTATTTGCATGCACAAGAGTCGCTTCCAAAAATAGCCTTATGATGTATGGTAGAAAATTCCCTGCAATATTCATAATTTCTATGAAGATAATAGGGAAAAAAGAGTCTCAAGTACGAGCACGTGAAGGTTTTCGCAGGAAAATTACTAATTCGAGAACTAGAAAAGCTAGCAAGCTGAGATTTTAAGGAGGTGTTCTCCAAATGCTATCCAGAAGTTTCAGATGCCGTTTCTAATTACGTCTAGTTCTCACGTGCAGATTTGTGAAAACCTTGGCTGGAAATTACTGGCAACTTCCCATGTCCGAAAGAAATGAGGCGGAAAACTGAAATTTTTCGAAGATGCTGCATATCCTCGAATGCTTAAATTTAGTTTCCACACTAGCCCAGGTGTCTTCGTTGTTTTGTTTATACAGTACTTCACGCCCTCATTGTTAACTGCGTTCAACAGACTGCATCAGATGCTCTGCAATCTATTTCCCTGCTTCGATTCTTAGAGTAGTTGCTGGTAAAGATCCTCCAAATGCGTGGCATCCTAATTTGAAACACATGCGTTCCTGAATTGCCGCATCAACTGATAACTGTTCGCAGTAGGGACCTATGCCAGTGCTAATGGTTTGATAAAACTGTTCCGACATTATGAGTCGGAAGATTATAACGAGAATTGCTTACCGAGGCACATTATCATCAAACGAGCTTCGATCTTAAAAATTTGGTCATTGATCAGTCCTCGTGTCTCTGAAATTTCATCTGTTTTATAGAAAATTCTGGCATTTTTTATAGCGAGGCGTTTGTAATCTAGTAATAGCAAAATTGGACCTATCTGTTACTCTATTTCGCGTCTTTTTGCTATTTTTTTGGCTTCTAGAATTCGAATAAGGCCCTTGATTAAGTGAATCATTCATTTGCAGATTATGCCGAGGCTCCCAAATTTTAAGATGGCTTTAATGCTGAAGACTCGCTTGAAAAATTAAATCTTAAGAGTAGTTGCTCGGTGCTTTGGCAGAAACCTACTGGCCAAATCCCTGGCATTTCGTAGAATATTTTTGTGTCCCAAAGAAGGGCGTAATATTGCAAATGTCACAAGTGCTGTTTTGCTCAGTAAAATAATAAAAGCTTGGCCACTTAGAGTTTGCTAGGGCTTACTTCGAACACTCAAAAATACCGTGTAAATAATAATTAAACCGTAAATGAGGGCCGACGCTGAGATGAACAATATCGATAAATAGGAAAAGTAGTTGCCCA